TATTATATCCGATTGTTGGAAAGCGTACGACTGTCTCGAGTTCGAAGGGTATGCGCACCTGAAAGTCAATCATAGCTTGAGTTTTAAAGATCCAGAAACAGGTGCGCATACCAATAGTATTGAAGGAACTTGGGCGGCAATCAAAAGAAGTTTCCGTGGCTCTAGTAAGGCAAAAGGACAGTTTGATTCCTATCTTGCGGAATATATTTTGGAGAAGGAAACACAAGAAATCCGACGCCAGCCAACTGATGCGTATATTTTCTCAGTGAGATCACAGCCACATATATTCTGCAAAAGGAGAGGACTGAAGGTAAGTTTCATTTATTATTATTGACTTAAGTAAAATATTGGGTGCTTTTCTTAATATGGCAGTTTGGATGTTTGGTAGTTGCTTTATTCTGGCAGCTTTATTTTTGTTTTGTATCATTTTTCTGGACACATTTTTTTGCAACTCGAATCCAATGGAGTTGGTTCCGCGCGAGTTTCTGCAATTCTCTGATTTCTTTAAGTGAAAGCAAATTTCTGAGTATATAAGCAATGGAGAATTTATTTAATGTCTGATTTTTTTAAGTAAAATAGATCGATGTTCACATGGGCAAAGCCAATGTGGTGCGCAATGCCGAGGTTGTGCGCGATGCCGAGTTTGTGCAATTCTGGGATGTTTTTTTTAAGTGAAAATAGATCGATGTGCACATGGGCAAAGCCAATGTGGTGCGCAATGCCGAGTTTGTGCAAGTTCTGGGATGTTTTTTTAAGTGAAAATAGATCGATGTGCACATGGGCAAAGCCAATGTGGTGCGCAATGCCGAGTTTGTGCAATTCTGGGATGTTTTTAAGTGAAAATAGATCGATGGGCACATGGGCAAAGCCAATGGGGTGCGCAATGCCGAGGTTGTGAAACTCTGGGATGTTTTTAAAGTGAAAGTAGATCGATGTGCTCATGTGCAATGTCGAGTTTGAGCAATTCTCTGATTTTTCTTTAAGTGAAAATAGATAATGAGCACATGGACACCGAGTTTGTGGAATTCTTTGATGTTTTTCGAGCGAATACTGATCGTTGTGTATAAAAGGGAAAACGAGGTTGTGCGTGATGTCGAGGAGTAATGTAACTTTATTTATGTGCAATGTTTAACATATCGTTTGTGTATTTTGAATTTGTATTGTTGTTTTAATTGTGAATTATATTTAAGACATAATTTTCATTTAAATTGTATTTTTAATTTTTTGTTTTTTGATATGTTTATAACGCTTTCCGACTTACGATATATGTGGTCCGACGATATAGTCCGACGATAGACTCAACAGTAGATAAACTGTAAACTTTAGCCCTTGAAGTAACATTTACCTCATATTTTAATACGTAGTGTTTTTTGGTATCGTAATTGCACTTGATAATATGAGTTCATTGATAATATGTGTGTGTGTGCGTATGTGAAGCATTGCTTAGTGTTCCAAGTTTGTAGTATTTATTTTATTATATTATTTTCTTTCATTCTGAGAAATTAGAATTTTTTTATTTATTAATGCGTAGAATTTCTAGTATGCCTACACAGAATATGGCGTGATTTAGGAATTTTAGAAACTGATATGAAAGCTGTGTAATGATGTTCATATGCAATAAAAAATATTCTTCTTTTTTTATTAATGTAAAGTTTAAATTTTTTAGAAATAATGAAAATTGTCTAATTATTGGTATGTAAGGAATTATGTCGTTACGTAGCAAGAAGGTAATTTGTAAAAATGATAAAATTGAAATGTTCCACAATATGAATTTAAATTAAAAAAAATAGTTTATTGTATAAATAAAAAAATTAATAAAAAATAATAATAATTTAATAAAATCTTTGAAAATATTGAAGCTCTACAACTATTAGAGACTGCGACGTTGTTTATCGTTTTAATAATTGGTAGAATTCGCTCACTGTATCATGGTAATTTTAAAATATAAACAATTTTATACTTATTATCAGTAACGCCTAAGCTTAAATGTTATAAATGTAAATTAAAAGTAAAGAATTTGATATTAATTTACAATAATAAACAATTTATTATTGTTATTTTTAAGAGAAAATAGAAAGTACACGTAGTGTAAATGCAAGACTACATTGTGACGTCACAAGCTTAGTCCCACCCATTTATGTACTCACACAGCTCCGCCTTACTGAACTTTGTTGATGCAGCCTATTCTGCGCTTTTACCAAAATATTTTTTGTTCATAGTACCTAATCGGGCTGGCGAGCACATACCAAACGATCGGCGAACATAAGGTTGGGCACCGCTGGGTTAAAGTAATGGTTGTAATTTTTTGTAGGCTGTAAACTTTAAGTTTGGAAGCTTTAAAAAAATTTGTTTCTTTTTATCCTTAAAGTGAAGTTGTTCAACTTTTAATTTTGTTTTGGAACTCAAATTTCACTTCGTTTTTTTTTTTTTTTTTTTTTTTTTTTGTACTGATAATTTTGACCCTTAAGGTTATTTAACTTTTTTATAATTTAAAGTTTGTTTGTTACACATTTTGGTGTGTCAATTTTTTTAATATATTTGTTTAACGTTTACCTCTCTTTCTGCTAACGTGTTCATGAATACAAATTTTCTAACTCTGGTAGTAAGGTCGAATAAGTGTTGAAGAAACATAATTTTGGAAATGATTACTCATCCTTATTTCCAGTGTAAAAACATCTTTCACTGTGTATGTATTTGATTGAACTTAATTTGTCAAATATTAGTTCTTAAGCCTCAGTACCTAAATTGTTTAATTGTGATGAAAATTATGTTACTAGTTATTTGTCGACCAAATTTGTCGGCTTGGAATTCGGTTTCTCAAAATATCTTGGGCGGACTGTGCCCCGAATTCCTTTGCCAAGCGTTTTACCCATGCAGGTAAGAAAGGTTCCTACCTCCATGGTTTTACCATATGGTGGGGTTTAGAATATTTATTCTGCACCCCTTTAGGTTTTACATGGAGTTCTTCCACGAGGGATTACTTCTGTGGGTGGAATTTTGTAGCCGTTAGGCTCCCACCCATGTTACTTTGGGACCTCGCTGCGAGGCTAGCTTTTTACGTCATCTTTCAGTGGAGGGGTTTGTGATCTCTCGCCGTAGCCTTGAGGAGCAGCACTACAGAACGAGGTCTGTAGTGCTGTCCACCAACATCTGGTAGACGGCGAACACATTTCCCCAGACGAATCCAAGGCTTCTTGATGGGAGAAAGCCGAATCTAGAGCTACTAGAGATAAGGCCATATTGATCTCCTCAAGATGGCCTTGCTAGAGATATAGAGCGAGGCCCTTTATAGTAGCCCTTTATAGTGTTATTGTCGCTTTCAACAAATATGCCAAATTTCAAAATTCATTATATAAAAATATAAATTCACGCATACCTTCGGAAATTTGGGATAAAAACTCTAATTTTTTGCAGGTATGCTTAGAAATACGTCTACTTTTAAGATGATGATAGAAATTGTATAGATTATAATTAAATTTTTTTCGAAAAATTTATAAAAATTATTTAAAAATACAAATTTTAAAAATAAGTCATAAAAATGGGAGAATTTTATTTGGAATGAACCTATATTTCGAAATGTGAAAGGAAGAATCAAATAAGTTTACTACAAAAAGAGAGATTTATAAATATAATACCCAATTCAATTAACACTGAGGAGCTAAAAGTTTGAAAGCTAATTTTTTAAAAACTACTAATTTTTTTTTTACAAAACTTTGGCATAATTTGAGTCTTAGAATCGGAATATGGAAAAAAAATGGCATGTCATATTTCAGAAAAAGTCCTTTTTCATGTCAAAATACCTAGATTAGAACAATGCTATATATAAATCTAATACAAATCCTAAGTCGCGCTTTCGAGACATAAAAAATGCAAGTTGAATTTCGTCAATCGGACCAGCAAAACGGAAAATATAGGTTCCCCCCCCCCCGCAGTGTACAAGTAACCGTTGTCCACTATTAATAAAGCATAGTTTTGATAAGCTAACCCATAAGAGTTTCGAATAAATAAGATGCCTTTGTATTTAACAGCCTCACCAATGGTTAAGAGGGCTGAATACTTTAAGCTCGATTCGAGTTCTCTCCCAAGGTATCAGGTTGGCTGGGTGGTTGTTTTTCGTGTTTTCTCCATGTGTATGTGAATACGAACCAATTTCAATCAGAAGTCCTCCAAGAAGACAATCCATATCCGAATAATTTAAATTAACCTTTATTTAATAAATAATTACAGATCAGTCTTTATTAGTTATATAATCGACAGCTACAAATCGAGCATGTAATTGATTATTCCTATTATTGTGTTGTTAACCATATCCAGCTGTTTTCTTCCTTTTCAACAGATGTTAATTCTTTCGACCAGCTGTTAATGAACGGTATGTAATCACAAGTGTGATTTTAAAGCTCTCGAACAACATTACTTTTCGAATAAGTATTCACTTGTTACAGTTTGTCACATACAGCTCCATTGTTTATCCGTTTGTAAATAAAGTACCATATCGTGCCAATTCATAGGTACTTTTTTTATGGTAGGATCCCATAACTCTGAAAATGCCTCATGCTATTCTGTAGAAAGCAAGACGCCACTATATATTATAGAGAAAAAGAGCATACTTTATACCTTTCTTCACAAAAACTAAAATGGCTCTGTGTTCTGGCGACACGTTTATCCATTATTAGCGCTAAATGGTGCTGCATGGCGACAGTTTTAAAGTCGTCAGAAATGTACGTAAATATCTTATTTTTCTATATTAATACAAATATAAAATATAATTGTAATATGAAAGAATAATAACATTTATTACATATTTTAACTACATTTGCAATAAAATAATTTATATATATATATTATTTATAAATTTGACTAATTGAAAATTAAATATAAGCTCAAAATTTATTAAAAAAATTTCGCAAAGTTTCATTTCACTGATCACATTCTTTATTAAGCTTTCATGCTATGCAAAATTTTGTGTTAAAAACAAGTGTGTTTAAATATACGCAACAAAATTTCTTAACTACATTATCTTTTATTGAGCATAATTCATGTACATTATTCAAAGTTTCTTCAGCAGAAATCATGCTACCAAAAGAAAAGAAAAAAAAAAAAAAAATAGTAGAATTGTAATTAATTGCGTGAACAAAGACACATACAAATATAAAAAAGGGTATTTGAACAAAAATTTATAAATTTAAATATTAATTTATACAGTGTAATATTTTTCTCATTGGGTAAATAAAAATTATAAAGAGAAACTTATAGAAATATATATATCCAGTTTTCCTTCGACAATAATATATAGGTTTAAATATGAGACAAAGGAATATGATTCCAAACGCGAATACATGTTATAATTCCAAACGTGAATACATGTTAATTATTTTGAAATGTATCATATGAAAATATAATTAAATCTGAACTTCATTTTTAACTATTTGATTGTATTTTTTTTTCTTTATAAACATGTAAAAATGTACACTGCGGAGGTAAAAAAGGGGGGAAGACAGTTCTATATCTCTCGTTCTACTGGGCCAATTTACAAAATTCAAATTGCGTTTTTCATGCCTCGAAAGCGCGACTTAGGATATATAGTAGATTTATATATAGCATTAATCTATCATAGATATTTTGACACAAAATCTGACTTTTTCTGAAATAGCGTACCAATTTTTTTACATATTTCGATTCTACGACTCAAATTATACCAGATATTAAATTTTGTAAAATTTGCTGCGAAATTTACCAAGAAATTCAAAAATTTATCTTGGCGAAATGTTTTCAGTTTGGCCAGGAATAATAATTCACTTGGCAAACTTCTTAATATATGGCAACCTATTTTCTTTTCCCTTCCATTATGCCGAAGTGAAAAAAAAAAAAGCACCTCGTTCCTACCTTTTTACATTGTGTATCAAAGGGAAAAAAGTCTCATCGTTTCTACTTCCAAATAATTTTAGGCAAAGTTTTTAAACCCCATCTGATGTTTTATCGCTTTCAACAAATATGCCAAATTTCAAAACGCGCCAATATATAAATTCACGTATATCTACGGAAATTTTGAATAAAAAATTGTAATTTTTTGCAGGTATGCTTAGAAATACGTCTACTTTAAGATGATGGTGAAATTTTTATAGCTTATATTTCAAATTTTTTTTGAAAAATTTATAAAAATTATTTAAAAATACGAATTTAAAAAATAAATCATAAAAAATAGGTGAATTTTATTTGGAATGAACCTGAATTTCGAAACCTGAAAGGAAGAATCAAATAAGCTTAATAAAAAAATCAATATATACCATACTCAATTAACATTGAGGAGCTAAAATTTTGAGAGCTAATTTTTTAAAAACTACTCGTGTGATTTTTACAAAACTTACAAAACTTGGTAGTTTGGCGTAATTTGAGTCGTAGAATAGAAATATGGAAATAAATTGGTATGTTATTAAAAAAAGTCCGATTTTGTGTCAAAATACCGATATTAGAACAATGCTGTGTATAAATCTAATACATATCTTAAGTCGCACTTTCGAAACATGTAAAACGCAAGTTGAATTTTGTCAATCGGCCCACTAGAACTGGCTATATAGAACTGTTCCCCCCCTTTTTTTTTTGCAGTGTACATATAAGTATATGTACATTATAATGTACAATAATATATGCCACTGATTAAAAAATGCGAGTAAATAAGCAACCGAGCGATCACCACCGAACACTAGTGATTCGATTGAGCTTTAAATCCCGGTGAATGGTCTGCCTGCATGGGAGTTTTCATGTTTTTTTTTTTTTTTTTTTTTTTTTTTTTCATGTGTAATATGAATAGGGGCAAAATTCTCTTGAAGGCTCTTCCACGAAGACATACCTCTTCTTAGGTAGCTATTCCTCGAGTGCTTTGCTATAATCTAAATAATCTGAAATCTCAGTCGAAGAGGGCAAAAGATTTTACAAAAAATTATTTGTACATGGGCTTATCAATTTGAGTTTGTATCGCTGTCGTTTGAATAATTTCGGTTTCGTACTATTTTTCCTTAAATAAACTTTTGCATCAATTTTTACACTTTTATATTAATCGTAACTGCATTTGTATTAACTAGTGAAAGTGTGTTTACATTTCTTAAAAAAAGTTAATTTTATAAGAGTAAAATACAGAAAGCATGTTGTGATAATGAAATTTTCTTTTGAGGATTTTAGAACTATAAACGTGTATTTTCAAACTGAAAGTTGCTTCAAAATTTTGCCCTGAATGCATCTTGCTGTATGCGTAATTTATAAGAATTTTTTCATTGAATAAGAAGTTTTCAAGGATTAAGTTCAGATGAAAATTTTTAGAAAAGGTACTAAGTATGAAAATAAGTCCCGGATTTTGTCTACCTAAACGTATTAGAATAAAATTTTTATAAAAAAAAATTAATCCCTTTAAACTGAGCTGAAATGCATTTTTTCAAGGGGAATAAATTAAATAAATAAAATAAATTAAAATATTCCTTTACACAATTAAATACTGTGATGATATGAATCTGCACAATTACATTTAACACAAATTTAAATCATTCTAAAAATATCTTATGTGGACTCCACATGCCTTCCTTGTACGGCCTATTAAATTATACACATTTTTTGCTAAATTTATTTCCTGGAATTTCATTACAAATATATTTCTCATTCAGTCAATTCGTTCTCACTCCGCGGCAAGACAAAAATGCTTAAAAACTGAAACCATCTTCATAAAAAATTGAAGAAAAAAAAAAAAAAAAAACCCCAAGATTCCTTTATTCTGTCCGTATGTACAGATGTCACGCAAAAATATCATTTAAATGGATACGAGTGCGGTCAAAATTGGTATTTTCATTGAAATATGATCACGAAATGTTTCGCGATTACAATACTTTCTTACAAAAGAACACAAAATGGTTGCTCCTCCTACCATAAAAATTGACAGAGATATTTAAGTTTGAAATCTAAGGAAAATACTGAAGAACAAATTATTTAAATTTGTACGTAATTGAAAATAAAGTGTGAGTTTAGGAAAAGTTTTCTGACGTTAACAGATTTAATGAAGAGCATTGATTTGCTGACTGTCATCAAAAGTATTGATTGATATTTTTTTTTTCAAAGAGGAGATCTTTTTCACAGAATATCATAGAATTCGTATTCTAAGTTAACAATAAGCATGGAAAACATTCCTAATCCAATACAATTTTTGTACGGATTGGATTATGTGTGTGTGTGTGATTATGGCAAAGCCTCGAGGGCTATCTGCCTAAGGGGAGGGATGCCTTCGTGGAGGACTTTCTAAGGGAAACTGGCTCGTATACACGTTACACATGGGGAAAACCACAAAAACGCCCATGCAGTTCGCGGGATTCGAACCTCGGACCGAACTACCAGTGTTCAGCGACTTTACCGCTCGGACGCTGGTGGTCCCCCGGATTGGATTATGATCCTAAAGCAAGAAAAATGCACGTGAATATTATTAATCTGTTTCTATCATTTGAAAAATTATAAATATTAAATTACTAGTGTAAGATTCTTTTAGCATGCCAAATGTAATAAGAACTTTAAATAAATAAAAAATGTTATACGCTGAATCACGAAAGAATATTATTGAACTACGTTAGGAAAAAAATCAAACTCGAATAATATTAATATAGTTTTATTACCCTCCTCTCGAGAAACAAAGCTAGCTCTCTAGCGCTAAAAAATTTTTCTTTTAAAATTACTTTGAAATTAATTATCTAGTTTTAAATATCTAGATCAGTGTTTGTCGTATGGTAGTCAAATATTTTATAATTTATGTTTAAAATGAGTATAAACTTGTATTAAATGTGAATAAGAAGACTTGGGTATTTCGTAATTTTACGAAGTTGATTTTTCAAACTGAAAAATTAACCGTTATGTATGTATGTTTTATTAAAAACGCCTGTATAAATATGTGTCTAAGACCAACGGTTGCGAAAATAGCTCCACGTAAGGATTTTTATGGACACTCTGTACACTATCTCTACAAAAATCTTTACCACCACTGTCTCTACATTTTTTCAGGCGTAGGCATAATTTTTATTAGAAAAATGTTTCAAACTATGCCGCAACTATCATGTTTTTGCATTTTTAAATTAAAGAATACAGTTTCGTAAAAATTACGAAATCTGAATTTTTACACGTTCGTTCTATCTTTATATTTACGAAAATTTTGTATTCGTTATAAAAAATATTAGATGAAGCAAGTGACTACATGCCACAAAAATTGGTCGAAATATTTGGTGTTAAAGTCAGGGTATTAAAGCATTATTTAGGAGCCGTACACAAATAGAAGAGCAAAATGTTTGTGTAAAAATTAAATTAGTTCCTTAATATTGAGCTATCAAGTGGCAAGCATTTCTATGCATTTTTTTTTAAAGTATCGATAAATATATTTTTTTTCAAACTGGAAATCTTATTCACAGAATATATAGAATTCGTATTCTAGAAAACACTGGCAAGTTTCAGTACCTGCCCCCAGAGAACTCATAATCTTATTTGCGTTAATTAAAAAGGAAAAATATTTAGTTCCGTTCTGATTACCGAATGATGTTTCTAAAGTAATAAGACTTCACGATAATATTAATACTGTATTTTTAAACATTAGAAATTTATTAATTACTTGTCCGAAAATGCTTTCGATATGCCAAATATCACAAAATTATAAATTAAAGGTACTAGTAAAACACAAAAGAGTATGGTTAAGGAGGGGGGAAAAACCAACCTGGAGTAATCCTAATTTATTTGTTGACCGACCCTTCAATTCAAATTGAAAATGAATTGAAAAATCTTGATTTTGAAATAAGATATCTGAGTCAATTTTTGTTGTGCGGAGCCAACTTTTGAAGTTTTATTTCTCATAACAAATGCAACATTTTCCTAAACGGAGAAACGTATAAAAAGTTAGAGTTCGTAATTTTTACAAAACTGATTTCTTTATTTAAAAATGTCAAAACATGAATAGCTACGCCATTTAAAACATTTTTGTAATTAGAAGTATATCTAAACGACCAACAGTTGCGAAAGTAACACTACGTAAGGATTTTTTGGGATCATATGTTTTTTTTTTTTTAACCTTTTTATGTGTTTCCTTTATTTATTATATATCATGTTCTTCGCCTTTAAAGCATAAAATTTAATTCAACAACAATATCACAAAATATTTAAAAGAGCATATCCTTTGAATTTCCAATACACAGTCTTGCGCGCTGGAGATAAAAATGCTTTTTTTTTCTTCTGTACAACGTTGCCATTGCTCTCTTTGAAATCCTTGAGTTTGTTTATCAAAAATTCGTTAAAATTTTACAAAATATGAAATCGATAATAAAACAAATTCCAAATTCTAAATTTAGGCTTCCAGATGCCCATATTCGGGTGGAGACGTACGTTATTCAAAATTTGATAGCTTTCGGTACAATGTTGCCATTCCTCGCTTTGAAATCGTTGAGTTTGTTAATCAAATTTTCGTTAAGCTGTGTTACAAAATATAAAACCGATAATTAAACAAACTCCAAATTCCAAATTAGGGCTTCCAGATGCCCATATTCGGTGGAGGATTACGTTATTCAAAATTTGATGGCTCTAGGTACCGTTGTTTTATTATAATGCGAGAAACATACATACATTTATGCAGATGCTTCATTACTTAATTTCTTTAAATATAATACAGGGCTGTAATATTTGGTGGCAACAATTTAAAAAGTAATTAGTGAATCAATGCAAAATGCCGAAACGAAATTAATAGCCCTTCTGGACAAATTGCCCCTTTGGGCTAAGGGTATTTCTAAGATAGTTGTTTTTTTTAAATTTTTATTTTGCGTTTCATCATATCATTGCGAGAAAAACGTTGCTTAGATGGCTGGGGAAAAAAAAAGAAATATCTTACCAAGACACGTAGATTCACATTCTTCTTTTGTCGAAAAGTTGTTGCCATTGCCTCGGCATCCTCCGTAGATGAAAAGTTCACATTTTTGGGTCTCCTTGTTAAAGAAATATCTGCGAAAGTATGCCATGCATGGCCCTACGACTTTCTCTTGGTCACAAGCAGAGGCATCTAGTAGACGAGAAAAGAAATATAATATGGGAAATACATATTAAAATATTACGAAAAATTCGGCGAAGGGGGGGGGAACTTGAAAAAAAGTTGCATGAAAATTTTGATTTCACGAATAAATTATTAAGTAATCACTCTATTAAGTAATCTTATCCAAATAAAATTCTTAGGAAATTTTCAGTAGCATAACTGATAGTATTAAAGAGCATGAAAATATTTCGGGAGTAGCTCTGCTGACAAGAAGTTATTTTATTTAGCTACGTGCACGCACTTCTCCCCTTGCACAACAATACAACCTCTAAGTATTCTTGCCACTTCTGGAATGTGTCCTGGGATTTTACTTCTCGAAAGGTAGCAATAGCGATTCTCGCTGAATCTCCTCAGTGGTGTCAAAATGTCTCCCTTGAAGCTGGATTTTAATTCGCAGGAAGAAAACGAAGTCTGCAGGAACCAAATCTGGTGAGTACGGCGGGTGCGGTATTCACATCATATTGTGTTTTGAAAGGAACTCATGTGTGAGGAGAGAACGATGACTTGATGCGTAATTTTGCTGTACCACGTGCAACATCACGGTGGCAGATCTGCCGAGAATCAAATTTATACATTTGTTCTTTGTTCAATTTTCTGCAATCGCAAAAGTAGTAACAAATATGTTCTCAATAATACGAGCTGAGCAGCTGCGATGTTCACAGTACAATGCCTCTTCGCCCAGTGGTCTCAAACTCAAATTGCAAGCGGGTCGAATGCCTGATCTGAAACAGCTGATAAGCTGCATTTTGTTTTCTTTTTTTTACAAGATGAGAAGAAATTTATATTTATATATATGTGTGCGTGTAAGTGTGTGTAATATATTAAATAGATGGCTGTAGTAGATTGAAGATTTTTATTGCATAGATAGAATAATGAAACTTACAGATAAATGCAGACGTAGATGATGCATATTTGATTTGTTGGACAACTAATTCTGAAGACATATTCACACTTTATATGCGCAATATGTTTCCCACAGTTGTTGGAAGTTTACATCTTGTTCACTTCCATGCCTGTCGAACTAATTTCTACCTTTTCGTTGCCCTGCGTTGGCAACATGCTTTTGAGATTTATCGTTCGTAGGATTCGGTCGCTAAAAGCGTAGCTGGCCTGTAACGGTTGTAATTCTTATTTTATGCTTATCTGTACTTCTGAATTATTACTAAATGTTTACGTGTGAATGTTATATTATTAAATGTATTCAGTTTGGTTGAAAGTGACCGAGAGTGACTGAATTTATTAAGTATAATCAAAGTCGAAACTGCGTCATCCATGTCGGCGCCATTCTAATACGAGGTTCGTAGACATCATTTGGAGGCACGCCGACGAGATCATATCAAGAATTCGTCAGCAGTTCAAATACAGATAAGTGATGATTTTTTAGTTCGATTTACATCTAAATTTGATTCTTGAAGTTTTATATCTATTTTGTATTGATTTTAATTTTGAACTTGAATACTTCGATTACTTATTATGGATCAAACTACTGTCATTAGATTGCGTGGTAGGGCAAAAGCGGCCTTCACAAGGCTTCAGAATACTATTCCTTCCGATTTATCTAAAAATGAAGTAATTTTGCATCTGGAGCACTTGGAAAGGATTTATTCAGATTTTGATAAATTTGATGCCCAATTACCAGAAGAACAGTCAGAAATTGAAGATTTTGAATCGAAGTATTTTAGTTTGAAACTTCAGTATCAAAATTTATTAGATGTATTAAATGTGGCTAATTTGCCAAATGTTACAGGAAATTCTAATATTAGTAACTTTAAGTTACCTAAGTTGAATATTCCTATTTTTTCGGCTAACTTTAATGACTGGATGAATTTTAAAGATTTGTTTGTTGCAACAGTGCATAATACTTCTTTATCGAATATACAGAAATTTCAGTATTTAATCGGATCACTTGCTGATGAACCAGCTTCTATAATTAAACATATTCCGTTATCAAATAATTCTTATGAAGAAGCATGGGCAAAATTGCTCGCTAGGTACGATAAAAAGAAACAAATCGTACAATCGTTAATTAAAACATTTATGGATCAAAAATGTATTTCACAGGTTGATAATGTTAATTTACACAATTAGCTGAAACTTCCGATGAAGTTATCAGAGGTTTAAAAGCTCTTGGTGACGAAGCAACTTTTAGGGATCCATGGTTAATATTTATGTTGCTTCAAAAGGTAGATTCAGAAACTCGAAAGTTATGGGCACAGAAAAGAGCAGAAGATGATTTTCCTACATTGGAATCATTTTTTGAATTTTTAAATTTAAGGTGTTCTTCTCTCGAAATTATCATAAATAAAGAAGCGGAAGCTAAAGTTGTTGATAAAAGTAGTAATGTTAGTTCTAAAACATTACAGAATTCTAAATTTAGTAATACTAAATGTTCGAAATGTAACGGACTTCATGCCTTATATAAATGCGTTAAATTTAAGAATTTGGATGTTACTGCTAGAAAGAACTTTGTACGGAAACGAGGATTGTGTTTTTTATGTTTAAATTCACATCTAATCAAAAACTGTAATTCACAGTTAAAGTGTAATTTGTGTAATTCAAAAACACATAATAGTTTGTTGCATGAAGATATTAAAGCTAACAACGTACAGCTTTTAAAAGCGCCAAATGAAAACGAAAGCACTCCAGAGCGAATTTCGAATGAATCATGCGAGGGTCAAGGTCAGGTAGTTGTCAGTAATACGATTCAAAATTGCAACTCGGCGATTTTGCCTACAGTTCTCGCACTCGCATTTTCATCCAATGGCAAAACTATCGAAATTAAATTATTATTGGATTCCGGAAGTGAAAGCTCGTTTATTTCTGAACGAGCTGTTCGAAGATTAGGATTAAAAAGAACAAATAAAAGGTTACTTTTGCGTGGAATTGGCGGAGTGCCAGCTTCCACAACTCGTGGTTTTGTTGATTTTAAAGTTCGGTCAAAATTAAATAATCAAGTAATTGATGTTAACGCATATATTTTGGATAGGTTAACTTTGCCATTGCCGGAACAAGTGATTAATGTAAAGCATATAGTAGAATACATTAAATCTATTCCGTTAGCGGATCCGAATTTTGCTCAACCCAAAGAAATTGATTTGATTTTAGGAGCTGATTATTTTTTCTCCGTTTTAAGATGTGGCCAAATATATGGTTCGAATAATGAGCCTGTAGCTCAAAATACAATTTTCGGTTGGGTGATTGCTGGGAAGGGCGGAAATAATATGGAAGGCCCAAAAACAGAAATGCACACTTCATAAAGTTGGAAGATAATATAAATATTGATTACGAACTTAAACGTTTCTGGGAAATGGAGGATATTGTCGATGTTGGGAAGAAGGAATTTCTGACACCTGAGGAACAATTTTGTGAATCACATTTTCAAAACACTCATGCTGTTAATTCAGATGGGCGATTTGTTGTAAAACTTCCATTTTATAAATCGCATTTGAAGTTAGGTGATTCAAAACCGGCAGCAATTTCTAGGTTGCGTTCCATGGAACGAAAATTCAAAGATAATCCGGAATTTGAAAGACAGTATAAAGATTTCATACGTGAATATGAACAGTTAGGACATATGACTGTGATTAATGATGATTTATCTAACAGATCGGATACAGAAAAGTTTTATCTTCCTCATCATGCGGTAATTAAACCTTCTAGCACAACGACAAAATTAAGAGTAGTTTTTGATGCATCCTGCAAATCTGAAAATGGTATATCATTGAATTCTCTTTTAGGGGTAGGTCCGAAATTACAAAGAGATATTTTTGAGATTTTGATTAATTTTCGATTTCCTAAAATTGTTTTCACAGCTGATGTGGAGAAGATGTATCGACAGGTGATGGTAGCCCCTGAAGATCAGAATTATCAATTAATACTTTGGCGATACAATTGCAGTGATAAAATGCGCACGTACAAGTTGAAAACAGTTACTTATGGTCTTTCCTCTGCTTCATTTTTAGCAACTCGATGTCTGAAGCAGATAGCTTTAGAATCTAAAGAGGAATCAGATGTATCTCGTATATTGCAAGAGGATATGTATATGGACGACTTATTGTCGGGTGCAAATACAGATAATGATGCAGTATTTGTATGCAAGAAAATATCTTCAATTTTACATGCACGTGGTTTTGATTTGAGGAAGTGGAATTCAAATTCTGTCGAATTCTTAACTGAATTTAAGGAACATTGTTCATTGAATTCTGATTTTGAGATATCTCCTCCTAATTCGAGTTCGAAAGTCTTAGGACTTTTTTGGAATTCAACTACTGATACCTTCAGTTTTAAAGCTACACTGCACATCAACGCACCTATAACAAAAGACGCATATTAGCAGAATCTGCTCGCATTTTCGATCCTTTAGGTCTCTTATCTCCTTGCACTATATTGATTAAAATATTCTATCAAAAACTATGGTTAGTTAAAGGCGACTGGGATTCAGTTGTTCCCCAGCATATCTCAGATGATTGGTTTAAATTTCAAGAGACATTCAGTCAAATCAATAATTGTGAAATTCCGAGATGTGTCATACTTACAACAGGACAGTGTTATCCAACTACATGGATTTTCTGATGCATCTTCGCAGGCTTATGCAGCAGCCATTTACTGTCGCCAAAGGTGCAATGGTACGGTTAAGGTTAATCTTTTGGTATCAAAGACTAAAGTCGCGCCTATAAAGCAAGTATCCATTCCTCGATTAGAACTCTGTGCTGCGTATTTGTTGACCAGATTAATGCGATCTCTATTGAACATTTTAAAGAAGTTTGATTTTGAAATCTTTGCGTGGACGGATTCCAAGGTAGTTCTGTCTTGGCTATCAGCTCATCCACGTAAGTGGAAAACTTTTGTGGCAAACAGAACATCTCAAATCATAGAAGTGATACCTATTAAACATTGGAATCATGTTCCCTCTAAACAGAATCCTGCAGACATTGCTTCTCGTGGTATTGAACCTCAACTCAACTCCTACCAAATTGTACTTTGTGGTGGAATGGTCCACCATGGTTGCGTCAGGAAGAGGAAAAATGGCCTGAATATGAATTAAAATCTGAAGATGATACTGAAGTAAAGGCCGAACAAAGATCTGATCCTATTTTTATTTCTCATATACGTGAATCGAATGATTTATTAGCTAATTTGTTCGAGCATTATTCTTCGCGTTGTAAAATTGTTCGTATTCTGGCTTACTGCCAAAGATTTATTACTAATTGCAAGAAGCATCATGTTACTCAGAACATTTCACGTAGTGGCATTAACTCCAGCTGCCTTATGCCGCTAACATTTCTAGAGATTCGAGTAGCAGAAAATTTCATTATTCGTTGGATTCAGAATCATTATTTCAAAGATGATTTACAATGTATTAAAGAAGAGAAACCTTTACCCAAGAAGAGCCAACTACGTTCTTTGTATTCCATTCGTAGATAAAGATGGTCTCTTACGGGTGGGAGGACGTCTTCGAAATTCATCTTTAGCATTTAACATCAAACATCCTGTCATACTTCCTTCTCGACATAAATTTAGCGAATTACTAGTGAAAGAACTTCATATTACTTACCTTCATGCTGGTCCTTCTTTATTATCACATCTCATCAGACAATCTTACTGGATAATTGGAGGAAAGAAACTGATACGCAGTTGTGTCAACCATTGCTTAATATGTCATCGATTTAAAGCTGCTTCAAATCTGCAATTGATGGGTGACTTACCTGAACATCGTGTGACTTTGGAACGACCTTTTTACGCATCTGGTGTGGATTACGCTGGTCCTATTACCATGAAATTTAATAAGGGTCGTGGCTCTAAAACAACGAAAGGCTATAAAGCTCTGTTTGTTTGCTTGTCGACTAAAGCTGTGCATATAGAAGCAGTCAGTGACCTAACGGCAGACTCGTTTATCGCTGCACTTAGACGTTTCATTTCACGTCGCGGTGCACCACGGCACATTTACAGTGACAACGGTACCAATTTTGTGGGGGCATGCCGAAAACTACAAGAACTAAATCAGATTTGGTCTTCCTTGTATGCAACGGAATCGGTATCCCGAGAACTAACTAAGTCATCTATTGAATGGCATTTTATACCGCCTGCTTCGCCCCACTTCGGAGGAATATGGGAAGCCGGCATTCGCTCAGCGAAATTTCATCTGAGAAGAGTATTGAAAGAGGCTCTTTTAACCTACGAAGAGTTGTCAACACTACTTACCCAGATCGAGATTTTGAATTCACGTCCACTTACTTACGTGAACGATACTGATATTGACTGTATTAATGTTTTAACCCCTTCTCATTTCATTACAGGTGATACTTTAACTTCCTTTCCAGAAAGCCATCAGACTTTACGCACAAGGAGTTCTAGGTGGGAACTTGTACAGAATCTACGTCTGGGATTCTGGAAGCGATGGAAAAAGGAATACTTGACTTCGCTTCAGCAGAGATCTAAATGGCAGTACAACAGACCCAATCTAAAAATCGACACCGTGGTTCTTATCATCGAAGATGGATCCCACCGCTAGCTTGGCCTATTGGACGGATCATCGATGTCCATCCGGGCAAGGACGGCTTGGCTCGCGTAGCCACTGTCAAAACTAAAACAGGTGTTTTCAAAAGAGGAATTAATAAACTTTCACCGTTGCCTGTGTATCAGGACTAAACCTGATAGGGTGGGAGTATGTTCACTTCCACGCCTGTCGAATTAATTTCTACCTTTTCGTTGCCCTGCGTTGGCAACATGCTTTTGAGATTTATCGTTCGTAGGATTCGGTCGCTAAAAGCGTAGCTGGCCTGTAACGGTTGTAATTCTTATTTTATGCTTATATGTACTTCTGAATTATTACTAAATGTTTACGTGTGAATGTTATATTATTAAATGTATTCAGTTTGGTTGAAATAGACCGAGAGTGATTGAATTTATTAAGTATAATCAAAGTCGAAACTGCGTCATCCATGTCGGCGCCATTCTAATACGAGGTACGTAAACACATCTCTTCAGACAATAGACGCTACAGAGAAGCGAGCGGCAACGTGCTATTTTGACGCAGGTAAGCGAGGAAAGTGACTGCGCACTCAGAAGAAATGTAGGAGAATGTTTATAAGTTTCGGTTCTGAAACTGAAATCTTATTCAGTGATTAGATAAAAGATATCTATGTTACGTAAAATGCCATAATATGAATTAATTTTGAAATGAAACAGTTTATATTGATATGTTATGAATAGTTATTGTTTTTAGGACAGAAAGGGGAAGTACCCAATTAAAATGAAGAATAAAGGGGCTATTGTGAAACTAAAGTTACTAATTTCCTTTCATGTTTTAATCTTTCATTTTCTGCGTCATATATACCTTTAATATATGCATATCACCCTTTCATAACCTGATGGTAAGCAGGACGCGCGTGCGCGTGTGAGACGCTTGTTATTTGTATGTTTGTAATATGTTTGGAAATTATATTTTTAAAATTTATTTTGCTTCGAACAGAGTTTAATTGAAAATTTATTTCAATAAATATTGAATTATGTCTTCTACAGTTTTTTCTCTATGCTTATTTTTTATGTCTCAAACTTATAATTTTCCCCTCTCCTTCGCTACAATTATAAATTTTTTTCTGTTAAAATTTTAAAAAATTTTCTTTAAGTGCCTTATACCTGACAAATAATTATCGAAGCATAATAAACAATAATGATTATTATGTAAAGTAAAAAATTTCAAATTTATGCTTATTTGCCATCTGAAGTCTAAATTTTGGTATTTACAAGAAATTTCAAGTGATTGCACTTTGCTATTCAAACGTAATTATAATTAAATATAACATTCTCAGACTGACATTTACTTGAAATAGTTCTAACATGTTAAATTAACCACTAAATATCTTAATTTCCTAGAGAAATATGAACAATTTAGTCTAATGATAGGTATATATTAGAACACCCATCTTTATGCAACCTAGCAAAGTCGAAAATTTTCTACTGAACTGCTTGTGGGCCTATGGTAATGAAAAGAATTTTAGCAATTTTCATAAATGTCTATTGAATAAAACTTAAAAGTATCAATAGAAAGTTACTTAGAGATTAACTGAAATTTTTATAGGCTATATAGAAACTGCAGAAGGTCTTTTAGACAAGAAAGGTTTAGAGCAGCGGTTATGAAAAGAAAAAGGGTAGAGCACAGCAGAATTTCATACTATCAGGGAAGAATGTGTGTTTTTTTAGTTGTTAAGTACTTAGTATTAGTTTATAAATGTAAAAAACTGCTTTTTATTCAAGTTTTGACATTTATCAATATTTTCTATATTTTTTCTTGTTTAATTTATAAAGCACATAAAAAGTAATATAAATTAAAATAAATGTACATGTATTTATAGAGTTTTGCAAGAGGTTTATATGTATGGAGTTTGGGGGGATGATCATGGAGCAATGGTGAAAGGGGGCAGGGGGGCAAAAATTGATTTAGTACCACTGCTTTATAAGGTATGGGCAAGGAGAAACAATGAAAAAAGCTGAAAATTGTAAAGAGCAATCACTATGGATTTGACGAAGCCAAACTGGAATTAAATTTGAAAAACAATCAAATATGGAAGTGTTTGCTAATTCAACTGAATTGCTTTTCCGTATTCTTATTAAAGGGGACCAAACCGGTCTTTTATGGGATCCGATGAGACTCAGTCGCTCACTGAATAGTTCTTTTTATGACTCACTCGCGGTGACCTTGATGAGTAAGATCGGTAACGGGAAATGAATCAATAGCGGTGTGTGAGAATGGAACGGACGAACAGTAGAATTGGAAGAATCGATTAAATTGAATTGCTAACTCTATGGATTGATTTCTTTCAAATGTAATTTTGAGATTCCCTAAAACTTGCTCTCTAGAATTAACAATAAAATTCTGGATAAAAAATTTTAAGAAAGTTTGGAAATGATAAAAATTAAGTTAATTTCCTGGGAGGAGAAAAATTTTTTTCTTCCCTAAAATGGGAATCGAAATTAACATGGCACGCTTCGAACAAAGGAGTTTCGAACTCAGTTTTGTCGAATAACCGTTTCCTCGCTTATAAAAATGTTTCGGGTTTTTGAATCAATTCATGAGCAAATCTGAAGTCTCTAACTCTTAGAAGATAGGGTTTACTGGTTTCTACTTACATTGAACAAGGTTTCTCCAAATACAAGGAGTCTAGAGGGTCACTGATTTAGATTCCGAAACCTAGAAATCTTCATCTTATCCAATGTTACTACAAGTTTTTGTTGAAACGCAATAGATGCCATGGTTATTTTCTAAAAACAGACGGTTACGTTGCTTATTATAACGCGCAATTTTTACTTATTAGAGGGTAAATGAACAATTTTGATAACAATTTCTTTAAAATTGAATGAAAGTATTTTATCAGCACCTTTTTTTCACCTTTTAGTATACATTTTCAACTCCTTCTCCAATAATTTTGCACCTCTGAATCCTTTTCTTAATGATCATTCAATTATGTAATCAAAAATATCTATTGTTTTTGTTGCGCTTAATTACCTTTGCAATTTTTCCTGCATTCGTCTTCAGTGCGGAAATTATTTGAATTACCACCGCATCCTCCATAGATGAATTTTTTGCAGGTGCTTTCGTTTTGAACAAAATAATATCTTGGCATATAAGCATCACAAACACCCGGCTCTGCTGGCGCACTGCAGTCTATTTCCTTAGTCGCTGCTAAAATAAAAGTGCGGCATTAAAGCAAAACTCTTACGTACTTTGAATGTAATTGCAATAGTTCATAGTTAACTAGGCAGTTCTGCTCATTGAGTTTAATTGGGCAAATTTTATTTGAAATGTCCACGGAATTTATAGCTAACTAAGTAGTTCCGTCTATGAGCAATTTTTACTTTTAGTGCCCAGAGTGAGGGTAGCAACTTAAAAAATCGCTATGGATTTAACTCTGTAGTTAACTAGGCAGCTCTGTTCTCTGCTAATTTCTGAGGTTTAATTAGGCAAGTGTCAAACCGAGGAACCCACATGCAAGTAAAATATTAGTTTTTTAATGTGATAAGTAAAGAAAAATTCCTACTTATTCATAGCTTGGCCCAGCATGAATATGCTTGCTCACTCACGAAGTTTGCTTTCTTCATGTTCGAAACTGAATAGGGGTGCGGACACCTTTATTTTAGGACATGCCTTTACAAGTAAAATATTAGCTTTTTACAGTGATAAATAAAGGCAAATTCCTATTTATGTAATGGCGCTTCAGCATGAAGGTACCTGCTGGCTTATCATTTGCGATATGTTTCACATTATTTCACAATCTTTCTTTTGGTTAAACATTTGCTGTCTTTCATGTTGCCTCTACATGTTGAATAATGCAACTAAACACTAGCATGGATCTTCTAACTTTGGTGGTATGCTGAAAGAATGTATTTAATTAGCAACATTTTAGAAAACTATCACCATCAGTCTGTGTTTGAGTGGTTAACGAAACGGAATGCTGTGAGTTCGACCCGGGTTCGATCCCAGGCAAGCGGGATAGCTGTGTGCTTGCTTTCGTGGATTTCAAAATATGTAATGTGAATACGAGCCAGGTTTCCTTAGTTGGTCCTCCATGAAGGCATCCTTTCTCCTAGGCAGATAAACTGCATTTCCTTTTGCTGTATTCAAATAGATTAAACTTAGAAAAACATCCTGTAAGTCTAAGATTTCAGTTTTTTACCTTCTATTATGATTATCATTTGCGATATGTAAGGAGCATGTATGCAATCGTATACCACTCACCCGCGTAAGTATATTTTCCACTCGGTGGAGTATATTTTTACTCAGAAAAGAGATTTTATTCCTTTCATATAAAGACATGATAATAATCACTGAAATTTACAAACCGAGTTTCAGAAAAGTGATTGAATTGCATATTTACAATCACCCTACGTTTTTCGCATGAATTGTTTACAACTGTTATCTGCTTGCTTGGTTTCAACATAAGTAGTCAAACTGCTTCTCTGATGTTCACCTGTGATCACTGGTTGTTAGTTTTGCTGGCATCCAAAGTCATTTGTAGTCATGCCTATAAGAATCCCATATCTTTCGTGTTGTCATGAAAAAGCTCGACAAATTAACTTTGCATCAATCTGATACTTCATGTTCTGGATATAAAATGCTATTTTCAAAGTAGCTTTAATTTAACTTTATTTTAGTTATTTATTTATTTAACTCGCGTTTATTTTAGAACAGAGTGTTGCAGAAATCGTTAAGCATGCAAATATAATCCACTATATATAGTAAGCAGCGTTATCATTATTTATATTAATTTCACGTTAGCATAATACTAAGGATTCTCTATGAATTCATCACTGTAGTTACACTGTGAAATTTTACTTTATTAACCCGTTATCTTATTATTTTTTACCTTTACTGCCATTTCTTTCGTCGGCTTCCACCAGGATGCAAATTAATTAATATGCATAAGAATTGAGCTAATGAAGCTCTCTGCAGCAGCTCCTGACCGTCTTATTAATAAGTTGCCCAACGTCTGCATTTGCTTTAATAAGTTTTAGCTTTTGGTAGTTGCGTTTGCTAGCGTAAGTTGAAGACTTGGGCCAAAATTTACAGTCTCGCAAGAAGCAGGGGAACTGAAGATGGGTGATAAGTGGTATAACTGCCTGCGGAACCAAAATTTAGCATTTAACCGTTTCCTGGGATTGTAAAATTAAATAATGCTCAGCAGTTTAGTTTATGATGGAAATTTAAAATTTGTTGTTTAATGCGGAGAAGAAAAATGGCAGACCGTGTCAGTTGATCTAGAACAGAGGTTTGGACTTAGATTCTCTCCTGTTGACCAGCTATTTCTCCCACGAAGGTAAAATTAATATTCTCCACAAGGAGTGCTCAAAGCTAATTTAAGTAAGAAGGGAGACAGATATAAAGGTATAAGATGCAAGGCAAAACATATCGCAACATTGTAAATCTTTAAGACACTAGCGTCTCGTAGACAAAACTACAAAGCACCTCCACCAGTAGCGAAAGCAATTATTAATACGGAAAGTGTAAAAGCTTCCAACCCATTAGCAAGAGAGCCAAATAACTGTCTAGATCACAAAAAGTACATTTGCTGATGTTTTGAGAAAAGCAAAGCAGCCAAGTTTAATAGTTCATCTAATAGAAAATAGCACATCCACAGAACTTAGAGCAAAATCACCCATTGCACAACTGAAAGTAGGAGTTGACAGAATTATTACAACAAGCAAAGGAGTCTTCGAAGTCATCTGCAAAACCACAGAAGACGTGGAAAAGCTCTAATAACACTTGCAAAGGGCAGATCTCAAGCGACCGAAACGCAAAAAGCCGCGTATAACGGTTCACGATGTCATAGAAGACATCAATCTAACAGATAACATTGAAGAACTCAGCGCGGCAACTTCAGGTCCAGGAAAATCCTTTAAAGCTGTCTTCAGGCTGAAGGAGAAACGCAGGGATGGGGTCAAGTGAATCATCGAATCTGACCCATCCGCCTTTGTGGCGGCCCACAGAGCTAATAAAATCTACACAAACTGGTATGGGCATAGCATCCGACAGTACATCGGGATTAAATGCTGTCACCGCTGCTAGCAATTGGGTCACACCCAGGATATATGTCGTAGTGAATCCCAATAATATGCGGGAGAAACATAAAGTACGAGACTGCCAAGTACGAGCTGCAGCATGTATTAACTGTGAACATAACAACAACAAGCATGGAAGAAATCACAACTTCCGGCATCCAGCATACCATCCTGACTACCCGGAATACCAGGCCTGCGTTCGATGTTTCAGAGCAAATATACTTACTGATAGGCAGACATCTCATTCTGAAGTTCCAGGACATCACTAGACGAGAGACGTTAGTAGCCATATTCAGGAAGGCAACGAGCTCAAATTTATACAGACCAACTTACAAAGTGCATGAGCTGCAACAGTTCAGCTAACGTAATGGAGCAAGAGGCAGACTTTCTGTTTATACAGTAACCTTACGTTTATGCTAATAAGATTTTGGAATTTCCCTTCTCTTGGACAATCATCCAGTCACAATACAATCCCACAGCAGCAATCAACTGCTGCAAACAGAAGTGGAATCCTAATCTCGTCTCCCGTGCCAGAGACACCACTAGTATAGCCGTTGAAGCCTCCGGCCTCCAATTAATTATCACGAATATCTATAGCCCACCTAAGCAGAAATACAATCGCCAATGCACTACAAAACATTCCATCGACGAATCCAACATCGACGAATCCCTAGTAGGAGATTTTAATGCTCAGTCGGAAATGTGGGATTATCCGCGCACTGATCCTAGGAGATGATAAGTAGAGGGCTTTATAGCTTCCAATGATTTAGCTTTGCACAATGATCCATGCAGCCTTCCTGCGTATTTTATCCACGGAAGAATCTGGCCCGATCTTACTTTAAAATCCAATGCCCTCGCTTCGAAGATTCAGAACTGGACAGTGCAGGAGACGCCTTGTTGCTCATATCACCGCTTTATCACATTTATCATCAGCCAGCCGCATCCAAGGATCATGGCTAAGCGATTTCAACTTAACGCAGAAAGCTAAAGGTCTTTAGTTAACGAGCGCGTCAAGCAACCATTTTTATCGAACAACTCGAATCCTGCACACATCCCAGCGATCCTGACAATGTAACCGAAAATATCCTGCAACAATTGCAAAACATTAGTAATGAGCATTAATACCTTTAAAATAAAAAACCCCAAAACGCTGCATGCCGTCAGTTGGTGGAAAAAGAACCCCAAAACCCAAAGGAGCAAGAAATGATGAAATAGATTATAAAAAAATTTCGAAATTCAAAATTCGGGCTTTCAGGTGCCCATTTCGGGTGGAGGACTACGTTAATCAAAATTTGTTGGCTCTAGGTACTGCTGTTTTTTCAAAGAGCCAAAAACATACATATAGTCATGCAAATTTTATTCATTATTTAATTTCTTTAAATATAATACAGGGCGCTAATATTTGGTGGGAACAGTTTGAAAAGTGATACAAAGCATTTAAAGTGTTTCGATGAAAAATGCCTTTTCGAGACCAATATTCCATTCGGATCCCTTTTCGGCTAAAAATGTGCCTTGACATATAAGCATTATAAATGATATATACAAATAAGTTATAAAGATTGTGTACTGTGTATTCTAAGTTACAGTTGAATGTGAAGAATCTTAAGAACTAGTAAGACCCTTTATTATTCAAATAAGATTTACCAGAACTCCGTCTTGGAGTTGTACAATAAAGCCGACACTTGGGCTTGAACTTAAGAAACTAAGAATTAAAACTTAACTAATCCTAACTAAAAAGATATAGCCGAAGCTATCAAGATTCCAACGGAGTTGACCCCTTAACTCTAATTGACTGCGAAGCTATCAAGGGCCTAAAGTACGGCCGAGGGTAACAATAGCTTAAGAGAGAGTAGCCTAAAAAGGCGGACGCGTGCTAGTCAGAAACTCTGGTTCTCGAGAGTAGATGGTTTCTGCCTGGAAGATAACACACTGTGAGGCTAAGGCCAGGTCAGTGGTCATGATGTTGCTCACACTCTCTAACTCAGACAGTAGAACTTCGCGGTTATATACCGCTCTTCCTCATTTGCATTCAAACGTGATTCTAAAACTAAATTCTGGCCGAAAGTTGTAAGTTGAAATTCAGAAGTGCAGGAAAGGAATCTTAAAATTTAATTGTTAAATAAATAAACATAATATTTCAATGTATATAACGTAAATGTAGTAAAAATATTAAAAAGTTGTCTTTAAAGCAGGTGAATATTACCTTATGAAATAGCTTTTAAAATTTCTAAAAATATTTGTCATATTGATTAAAATATAAATATAAATAATACGCTTTCTCGCAATGTTTAATCTTTGAAGGTTTTACTCTATTGCAATTATGATAAATGTGTGAGAATTAAAGCACGAAATGTATAAAACGAACATAAGAATAATTCATAAATACCTGCTAAGCTACTGCTACCACAAACGTTTTCACATTCCGCTTCTGTCACGAAGTTGTTCTTGTTTCCACCGCAGCCTCCGTAGATGAAGCGTTTACATTGCCCCGTAAGCTTGTCGAAGTAATACCTAGGGAAATATCCACGGCATAGGCCAGTTTCGGGGTTTAATTCGCAGATGTCGGAGCTAGACTGCTTTTCCTTCACATCTGGTTGAAAAATTAATTCAAAAGATTTTCAGAATTGATTTACTTCGCTATAAATATATTTTATTTCGTTATAAATACATTTAGGTACAAATGCTTTAGTACTTTCTGTTGCTTAGTAGAAACACATTGGTGTATAAGATTTTAGAGATAATTTTAAAATTTCAACTTTAAGTGTGATTGAATTCGAAGGAAATCATGCCAAAGTTAAATTTAAAATTAGGCGAAACAGCAGTTTTATTTTAGCTTAGATTTTGTATATGATTCTAACAGTTTTGTGGGTGATCTGATACAGGTCTCTCTTCTTTAGGAACCAAGAAAAAGAGAAACAAAGAAGTTGATGCTGAAGAAGAAACTGAAGGGATCCAGCTTTTAACGTGACACGGGGGGGGGTTAAGGTCTTTTTAGGCTCTCCCTGAGCTCGCAGTTCACCAGTATGCTCTTGGATTCACTCCTGCTAACATAATCTTTTTTAGCTTTATTATTAAATATCGCTCTTACACCACATAAAATTTAAGAATATAATCACAAAATTTTTAAAAGCAACATATTTTTAGAATGTGTGTGTCGCTATGTCTTATTTTATTTTATTATTAATTTATTTATTTATTTTTTGTCTTTCTTCAGTTCATCTTATACATGTGTACATTTTTCTTAACAAGATGATTAGCACAGTTTTTTTTAAACTTTATTTTTAAACATAACATTTTTTTTTTTTTTTTTGCCTTTACGCCACGTAAAAATCCAATAGCAGAATCACACGGTATTTAAAAACAGCCTACTTGGAATTCCTGATAGAGTATTAAGTGTTGCCATACATTTTTTATATTCATTATATTATTTCTTTAAAAATACTATTACTCAGCGGTAACTTTACGTAGCAACATATTTTATTTGAAAAGTGATTCGAATACAAGACTGAATCAGCGAAAAAGTGAGGATGTTTGCGAAAAATTCCGAAATGGGAGTAGAGAAAATCGTAAAAGCGATGCGTGGAGAAAAGCGAACACGTTGCGCCCGCCGCTAAAAGAAAATAATAAATAAAATAAAAGAATTCACCATCAGCGTGAAATGGACATTCAGAAAACAAAAGGGCTCAAAGAGGCAAAGGAGAGGACCCGAAAGAATTTTCTCGAAAATGTCAGTGGATAGCAATAAATAAAATTGAAATAAAATAACTCAAAACTAGTATTGCTATTCGACCTAGTTTAAAATTTAGTGGGATACATGAAGTAAAACTTAGTACGCTTTTTTCGAAAGTGTTAATAAAAAATTACACTATTTATATTTTTAGATTTGCGCATTAAATCATTTATACCCGAAATGAATACACGATTAGGAAACGAGAGTTGATTGTATCGCCATTATCTTAGACAGAAATAATTATTACGGCCAAGCTAAATATCACAGTATATTTCCTCTAATTAAATATATTGCGAAATAAATTTTATAAGGGTAAGTGCTCACAAGCAAACTCACATGGGCTATGGAGACACATCCTACTGCTGCATGGTCTCAAAACATTGTAAACATATTCAGTAGATCAGAGATCTAGCGAGTATGTTGATCAATCTAATAGAACGACATTTCCATTTTTGAGGTACTGAACTTCAACTTAGTTTAGATTGTGCATTAACATATACACTTTGGGCTTTCAGCTCTAAAAATTCCTTATTTACCTTGCCCATGTATCTAACCGATCAGAGAATATCTCTTTGTAAACGCGTAGATAGGTATGGCCATTTATTATGATTGCTGTCCAGATAAGTAAACCACGAACACAGTGTTACCAGACATTTTTGAGATAAAGTAGCAAGACAGCATCTGACGTCAGGGATCATGCGATATTTGTGACTTCATAAATTGCAAAACTCACATGACATTTGACGTCATCAGAAAGTTAAACCTCAATCGAATTATGTTTCGGTTACGCGGGACTTGACGTCGAAAGGGACAATTCTAAGAACCAGCACAATTTCAGGAAACCCACGTAGCTAAGTTACCATTTTCACTTCCTACAAAGACATGAACGCCAAACATTAATCGATTATCGCTCAGATTTGGATCACGTGATCCTTCAGCAGCAGAACTTTCGTCTGATTGGTTGTCTCTACCCGCGACAGAGGTCCTGCCGAGACATTTTCAGTGAGGTTTGAAAATATCCCGTGTAGCCGCAACATCGTTTCCGTAGCTAGGCGGGACGTCGCTTCAGGCGGGGCTTTTTTTTCTAGGAATTCTTCCGTTTAAATCAGCGCTACCAGAATCTCGTTTCTCAGAAAAGTCCCGTCTAGCAGGGACTGTAGCCAAGTGTGATAACCTCTTTTGTCTCTGAGGGCTTCGTCAGGGTTAAAAAGAAGGGCTAGGTCATTCCTTTTTGTGTCTCCTCGTCTACGCGATCCTGGGTCTTTTTCTTTAGCCCTGACGCGATCCTCGTAGGAGGAGTTAGCAGGAAATAGTCTGACGTTACTAGGTTGCACATGCTGTGACTTTGCGTGTTTAAAACTAACAATGTTGTCTTCAAAATTAATTTTAATCATATTTTATTTTCTAGTAAAGCAGTGTCAAAGTCCAACTGGAGGCCCGTATTCATTACCAAAAACGAAAGCAACTCTTCAGAAAATCTAGATATAGAGCTAATTAATTTACACTGTGATATAAATCTTGTTCAAAAATTTTAAGATATAAATTTGATTAACGTTCATTAGTACTTGTCAAAAGATAAATATCTTAAGTTACGAATTTTTGAAATAAGAATACTCGCTTTGTTTTTGAGTACATTTACATGAGAACAGTTTTTTTACATAGCTGAAAATTAATAATTCTCTGAAACGAACCAGACTGTCGATGAGTATCTACAATTTGTAATGATAATTTTTAGTAATTTCCCTCCGAGTTTACAAACTTCATGAAAATCAAAACATCATGAAGTGAAAGGTGTAATAAAAAACAAAGATGTTTACAATAATTTATATACAAATATTATTTTTCCTGTTTTGCGTCATAGAAAAAACTAATAAAGAAAAAGACTAGGTTGGTCGTTATTCATTCTCAAGTTTTGTCCGTCTTGGGAAGCTTTAGTACATTTCTTTTTAGTGTAAATTAAAAGTCAATTACTTAGTAGTACTTAGTAGTCAGTTACTTAGTTACTTTTAGTGTAAATTAAAAGTCAGTTACTTAGTAGTACTTAGTAGTCAGTTACTTAGTTACTATTAGTTGAATAAATGCCAGTCTGAAAATTTTAATATTTATCTCTCAAATTTTAATATTTAGCTGTCTGTTTGAATACCAAATTATGAAAAACAGAAATTTCTTGCACATACCAGCTTCTAGATTTCAGGCAAATTGTAAGTATAAATTTCATATTTTTATTTTTGTTATTTTTATTCTTATGTTTTGACAAATATCTAGTAAAAAGTTTTTAATTTAAATAACAAATTTTGTTTTGTTAAAAAATAAATCCCACCTCTTTTTTTTTTTTTTTTTTTTTTGTAATCGTTGCCCGTCAGCTACTTTCAGATTGTGCATTGGACAGTGTGCAATGAGCACTGTTGTAAAGTATCATTTATGTAATATGTTTTCTTACGTTGTAGCAAATGCCATAATGAGAAAGATAATGATATTTTATTTAATATTTTTTCAAAGAACAATTTACTTTTTTTTTGAGGGGGGGGATTATACATGTTTCAAAGATAGGATTCTGCTAATGTGAAGAACGCAAGAATTTGCAGCGAAGATTTTCTGCGCAGGGATTATATGAAGATGACATAAAAAATCGCTTGCTTGGATTGCCGAAAAAGTAACTGTTAAAATCCAATACTGTGTCAAGAAAAGAAAAATAATGCAAAAGGCTTTTGAAAAGCTGTACGAATTAAGCTTGAAGAAAATTCATTTTCAGACCGATTACGAAAATGATGATAGGAATAATAAATCAAATACGAATGAATTTAAAATAGATTCACAAACGACGTTGTAAATATTGCTGAATGCCCTGAAAAATAAACAAGAATGCATTAATAATTCGTAAAAAAAAAAAAAAAAAAAAAAAAAACACAGGCTAGCTCAGGATTTTATCTAATTTATAATCGTATATAACGTCAAACTAATTTCGCATAAAAGAGATTCCTCCTTTGCCCCTCTTTTAAAAGATTAAATAATTCTTTTTACATGCTGTGAAAAAGGTTGTTTTATCAAACTTAAAACAACGATCTGTTATTTATTTAAATGTAATGTATATGCATAAATATGAGTATAAATTAGACAATTATTTTAAAATTATCTCCTATTATATCAAATAAAAAGATTGACATACATATTCGAAAACTACGCTAAAATATTTTTTTGGCGTAACTTTAAAAAAGCTGTTGTTATAGTTATCTTAGATTGAGTAATAGAATTATCCGACTTAGTATGAAGATAAAGAAAAGATAATGAATGCCATAATTTTTTTCCTTCATTATTTAGTAATAAATGCCCAAGGGAAAAAAATCTACTTCTAAGAAAAACGTAAGCACGTTTCTTGCATTGTGGAAAAACAACGGTATCTAGAGCCATCAAATTTTGAATAACCTAGTCCTCCACCCGAATATGGACATATGGAAGGCCGAATTTTAAATTTCAAATTTGATTTATTGTGTATTTCATATTTTGTAGAACTGTAACGAATTTTTGATTAACAATTCAAAGCGAGCAATGCAACTATGTACTGGAAAAAACATTTTTATCTCCAGCACGCGAGACTGTCTATCGGAAATTCTAAAGATAGGCTGCTTTTAAGTATTTTTAGCCCAAATGCTCTCGAAACGTGTATGCGTAAGTAAATGAGAAAAAGCGCCTTTTGGGCGTAATATAAAATCTGAAAACTTTCAGATCTTTTTTTTTTTTTTTTTTTTTTGTGTGTGTGTGTGTGTGTGTGTGTGTTATTATTTAGAAACATGCTCTTGCTTTAAATCTTTTCAATTGTTTAGCTGTTAACAATATTATCTTAATATACCGTGGGGATATAT